GCAATAGTCTATGTGAGATAGTATATATTCACGTCCTTTTTAAGAATTCGCAAAGTTGTTATCGAAACTGTCAAAACCGTCAAAACTTTCGCAACCCATCGAAACCCATCAAAACCCGTCGAAATCCATCGAAACTATCGAAACAATTTTTGAAAAGTTTCGACTTTTGCCAAAATGGGTTTAGGGTTTTGCCCCGCAACTATAATCTTGTAAGTAAAGAGAGAAAACAAACTGTTGATTTGGTATAATTTAATTTACCTCTAACCAGAAATAGTGGAGAAAATGCCGCAAGACATTTAAGCTGCATATTTGTATTTCCAGTTCTAATACCTCCTCTATGAGCTTTCCACCAGCCACACCATTTGTAAAAACAATACCATACTTTGAGTAAGTCATTATTTCCTTTTTCTATCTGTGAAATATCCATTTGTTTTTCAGTAATATGAATGTGAATTGCACAAGCAACTGCTAACCATATTAAATCTAATATTCTACAGGTAGAATGGTAATTTACTACAGATTCTAATTTATTCAAAAACTTTACACCTAATATAGCAGCAAGATTATAAATTCTGTAGCTTAAAAAGATTGTTAAAAGTACACTGCATATGTTTTTAGACGTGTGCCACTGTCCTAAAAGAGGTCTGATTCTTGAATTTTTTTAGTGAAGCTTGAAAACTCTATGAAAGATTGCTTTGTCACAACAGATTTCTACAGGTTGTTCTTCAACTAATTTTAAATCTTCTATATATTTTTCACATGCAGCAAATATATCTTCATCATTGTTAGGATTTCCTCCAGCTTCAAGAATAACAATATGCAGTGGTAAGCATTGCATACCAATATTTATTTATTCAATTATTTTTGTATTTATAATATCATAATCAAATTCACATGAATATTCTATTGAATTATCTTCCTTTCGTTTACAGTTAAGAAGTTGATTAATTAAAAGCTGAAATCCAATTAAAATTTCATTAGCAAATTGATTCAGACCAAATAAGTAAGTTTGTTTTTCAAGTTGTATTATATTATTTTCAATTGATTTAAGGGAAATTGGTAATTCAAATTGGAATACAATTCTTAATGTTGCATGGGTGGTTTCTCATGTTGTATCATATATATTGCCAAAAGTAAATGTTTTTTCTTTGAAATTAATGTTATCAATAACACATATATTCTATATCTTATTATTTTTTTTAGGCGTAAAGTTGGATCAGCAGCTGACATTCTTTTATTATCCAGACGTTATTCATGGCGATCTGTATATGCAACTACATTTACAGATTAAAGAACTTGATATAATGAAGATAATAAATGAGGTTTACGACAAAGACTTGAAAGTATTGTTGGTAGTCAAATTTTTACTTTTTTTGGATAAAGAAAGGATTACAGAAGTTAAAAATATACTAACTTTTGTTATCTTAATTTGATTAATAGGCTTTTTTAGTTTTTTTCGTAATATTTGTTTTTCATTTGCTCTTTTTCTACTACATTCTAATAAATTATCTATTTTTCCTTCAAATAAAGAATATAGAGGTTTAGGAAGTACTGATTGGTATTCAATTAAAGAACTAGGTGATTCTAATATCTGAAAATTTTGAAATTCTTTAAAAGATTTTTTAAGATTTTTAGTCAAATTAATATCTATTTGTGAGCAATCTTTAGATGTTAAAATTGAATTATCTATTTTAATTTTATATAATTTAAATATTGTTTTTATGGAAAATAAACTTAGTGATGTTTCAATAAATTATCATATCATCATACGTTGTGTTGGTTTGTTTATTATTTTCAACATTAAGAATTTGCAAAGTTGATGTAATAAGATTTAAAATTTTTGTTTGTAATTGTATATTATTACTTGAAATAATCCATTTATTCATAAGTTCTAATGAATTGATAAGATCCCACTCATGTTTTCCTTCAAAATGACAACTACCTTCTTTTTTACCTTGTCCAGGTTTTACATATAAATATCCTCCTTCTTTTTCATAATAATCACAACAAATGTATCTGACTTTGTGATTTGATTGTGCTTTTGTTACAATAGAACTAAATTCTTTTAATGCCTTACAATTTTTTTGACCTATGCATAGAACTTGAACATACTTTTCTAATAATTTCCAAGAATGTTCTGCACAAAATTTTCTACGATTAAAAAGTAATAATTAATTCTACAGAATTGATAATGCCTAGAATGAATTAAACTTTCTAAAGCATCTTTTAATTTTTTAGTACCTTTTGAATGTAATTTATTTTGATTAAACATAAAATGGTTATAACAAACTCCTAATTTATCTAGGTTTCTGCCTATATCTTCTACTATTGATTTATCTAATTGCCACATCCCAACCAATTGCTATAATCCACGTAATTTTTCTGTTCCTCTACAACATTTTATTTCTCCATCAATAATATCTACTACTACACAAGCTGACAAAGTTTTTTCTGCTGTTTGTGGTATATTCATATCATTTTCTGCTTCTGTACTTTCTGTAACAATAGATGGAACAGCTGAGTCATTTTCCCACTCTTTACTACTACTGCTTGTTGATTCTTGAAATAATAAAGCAGTTTCAAAAGAATTTTGATCTTGTAAAAAGATAAAATCCTCTTCACAATCAGGTATATTGTTAAAAAAACTATTGATATCTTGAATGTTTTCATAAGTAGACTGAGTATTAGCAAAGTTTTCTGTCATAATTTCAAAAAAGTAAAAAAAATAAATTTTGTATTATTAATAGAATATGACACAATAGTCAACCTTTATAACAAGATCCTTTTAAATTGATCAAAGCATTTAACGTTTAAAGTTTATTAAAATGATTTTAAGAAACTAACGAACATTTTAAGTGATACAAAATTTAAAGTTATTTAATAATGTCACACAGTTTACCTATAGGTAAATTAAAAAATGGCGAAAAATCATAGTAAAAATTTACCGATCAAATGATTGATATTGTTACTATGGAATTCTTCAACTTGGGGTGGTCACGTTATCAAGTCTCTACTCGAAATTTCTAACTGCGGTTTACTGCGGTTAAGATGTTAAGATTTGCCTAACTCTTAATTTTACTAAATTTATGCGTTGGACTTAACAAATCTATCAAATATGAAGACTTGAAAGATGAGATTATGAATAATTTAATTAAAGAATTCAGATGACGAACTTAATTACAAATAATGTGTAGGGATCACGTCAAACTATATGAAGATACGAAGAGGCAGAAAGATATAAGTTTTAAATGATTCCTTTATTAATATTGAAATTCAATTGTTAATCCGTAAAAGAGTTAATTTATAACATAAGCAAAAAGTCTATCTATTTATACAAAATTTCTTTTGGTACGGCTAACTAATTACTATGCTATAAACTAACTAATTTAGCAAAATAAA